AGAATAACATCACTGGGTATATGACCCCAAACAGGATGGCAACGCTGGAACACAGTCTGTCTAGCTGAGGCTCTATAAATGAACAGAGCTAGGAAAACCAGTAATAGTTCTAATGAACTCTCTGGAAATGTTGATAGAATTGGTCATATGATTTCCTTTGCTCATATTCCCGTGGTGGGTGGCTTACGGTGTAACAGAGGGCAGAATTTACCCAGCAAAGCCTATAAAGTTGTTTGGGTATCACTATTTTTTTTGAGAATAACATGAACAAGTTCTTACAACAACCTTCATCTGGATTAGGTCGCGCGGTGCATTGACAATGAGATAGAAGCAAATGTAACAGAGGATCTGAATTCTAAAATCACTGGGCGTATGACCCCAAAAAGAAAGGCATATCTTATCTATCAACCGTCTGTGCCTCCGCCAAACAATCCAAGAAGTCTCACCTAAGCGGTGCTTTGCTCATGCATTCATGCACACATGCATTCATTATGACTGACCTGCCCTAGGAAGGTCCATTAAATGGAACTCATTTCAAGCACAGATGGTCCTGAATAGCTTAATGTCTGCCTGGTGGCCAGAATAAGTGAATTCTTGATGGCCTTAGACTTCTGATCACATACATGCAGCCAAGGAGGAAATGAAAACATGTTTATCATTTTGATAAACAACCTCTCTCATTGCTGCAGGATGCTCCATGTAACTCAGCAGAGTCAAATACTATTAAATTGTCATCACTGTCAAAGAGAGAACGTATAAGTTTTGCTACCTGAGTCATAGTTAATGACTTCCACAATGTATAACACAAATCAGTACTGCTGTTTGCCTTTTTTATGTTTGTTTACTGATAAGTTCAGGCTTGGCTAGAATATGGAGGCGAGTTATAATTTTGAAGTGCAAAATATGCTTTTATTATTACCTCTCAGCTAGAGATATAAAAAACAGAGATGACTAGAAAATGGCTTTTTGGCTTCTGCCAGGCAAGCACTCAGACCCTATAGATGATTAGATATTTTAAATCACGGCCACCCACAGTAGGTTCATACTTATGATAAAATATTTCACTCTGCAGCGTGTAAACTCAAGGTGGCTTTATAATAGAAATAAAAATGAACATGTTTTCAGGAGTTTAGTGTCCTCCGATTAGAATTGAACCATTTGCAGGTGTAACAAACAGTTGTTCCTGTTTTACAGTAAGAACGATGGATAATTTCTACAGTTTTGTATTTTAAGCCAGTGAAGAACAAAGATTTCTGAAAGGCTAGGAATTGTAAGCAGAGCCGTATTGCCACAGACATTTAGTTGCCATCTTCAACAGCCCAGAATCCTTCCCGGCAGCCAATTCTGTCCCTCTTGCTTTGGTAGTCATCGCATTTCCTTCATGCAAAGCGCAGGGTATCCTGTGACCTGAGCACTCAGAAAGGGTCAGCTGTTCTTACTAATTACCTGCTAATGTTTGGAGTGAGGAGGATCTAAGTCCCGTTAGGACGTTTTCATTCACCTCCGAAGCTTCTTGAGGAAAGAGAAAAACTGTTCCTGATTTGCAAGTTCTTATTTAATTTCTAATCTTTTTTCTTATTTTCTTGGGGCAGGAGGGAATTAATAAAACATAAGCTTATCTTTCTTACTAGATGGATAAAGCAGCCACTTCATGAAATGTAACTGTCAACAAAACATACAGAAGACACTTACTTTTAAGATCAATGTCAAATCCCCTGTTGACTTCAATGAGTTGGATGAGGCTGTTATTGTGGAAACAAAGCCAGAGCTACCTTAGCTCAATAGACCATAAACTTCCAAAAAAAGACATTTCTGTTCTTTGTGATGAGGATTTAAACTTTTGCTGCACTCACAGCCTATCAGGTCAATAATTCAGATTTTTTTCAGGACTCCCAGCACTGTAACATCTCACCAGGTCTTGCCATAATTTAGAACCACTGAGAAAAAAAATCATTGGCTCAGGCACGGAAGTCCTCAGATATTGATATTACAGCATTTCTTGGTGCTTTTCCTAACTGCCCTCAAAAAAAAAAAAAAAAAAAAGAAAAAAAATCACAGAATAATACATCTCAACATGTTAAATTTTTTTTAGTGCAAATTGAGGACTGATTCATGTTCTTCTCCCTGCTCTAACTTGTTTCCTCATTTGTACAGCTGAAAGAGAGTTTTAGTTGAACCTCCCCTCCAGTATATTTGCAGTATATGTATTTCTGTGAATAATGTAATCAAGAGCGTGATTTTCAATGAGGTTTTTTCCTAGTCTCACTGTGTCCATTTGTATTTGTCTGGGTATGTCTATCTATTCCCATTTTGTATGTGGCTTTCTAAAAGTCTAACATGTATGTGTGTGGTTCATAAAATATATACCAGCAAAACACATTGCATGCAATGCTATGCAGTAATCACTCAAAGGCTAAATGTGCTTTAATGCAAAATCTGATCTCACATAAGAAATTTTCTGGTAAATAGGGTGTGTAACATGCATAAATTTCTCCATGTGAGATGGATTATTTTTTTCTATGTCAACACCGGAAAGGGTCTTTTTATTGCTGTTATTATTATTATTATTTGCATTGCAGTTATAGTCCATGCAGATAAAAGTTCCAATTAATGTACTTAACTGTCTACTGGGAAAACCCAGTATTTTTTCATTGCTTTTATAGTTTCATTATGTTTTGCCACTCCTAAACAACTATACACTTTGAGTTAAATTCTTTATTGCTGCGGCAACTTGAGCTTCAACATAACAAATAAAGGTGTTATAAAGCTTATCCACCACAACCTATTATTTTGAATAGATAACCAAATAAGCAAGACTAGCTCATGTGGTTATTAGTACTCATACAGCAAATTAATAGAGAAAATTAAGCATTTAGCTTATTCACAGATATTTACCACACAGTCTATGTAGGTTAAAATTAGAAATGCTTATTACTGCGTACATTATCTTTATTGTTGAGTTTGCAATCAATAAAATCATAAATCTTTCTTCTCTCAGGGCATGAACATAAGATGAATTAAACCAAAGAGAATCTTTTCAGTGCTTTCAATATGATTGGGATGGGGGAACAGGGAGTTTATCTGAAGAATCACTTCATAGAAAAATACAAGCATTTGGGGCTGAGTTGATTGTCACAATTCCTCTTACTCCCAAGAGACACTTAAAAGACCATTTGTCAGATGATGGCTTTCTGAATTGTTGGGATCTCTCTTCTGTAGCACCTAGTGGCTTTCAAAAAGCCTGTGTCAGCAGGCCAAATGCACCTAATAACTAATACATGAAGCAGCATTTCTCTCTAGATGAGTTAAATATTTACTGCTGAGTTTGTCTTGTCTCACGCTTGCAAACTCATCAGTGCTTAACCCCATGGCCACACAACAACCTAAGCTCATTTACCCTAATGGACATTCATGGGCTTTCATCCACTGACTCACCCCGGAAGGTCAGCGGTTTGAAAATTTAATATTATAAAACAGTTCCACAATTTGTGGAGTCCCTGTTCATTGCTAGTTGTTGTACCACTTAATACTGCGGGTACACCTGATGGCACACCACCATATGACCTTAACAACATATAGTCAAGGGAGATTCCTCCCTGCCTGTCTACCCCAGTGCTTCGCTACAGAAATGCCCCATTTGTAGAATCACCAGGTAACAGGAGTCGGTCCTGAGCAGGGAGATGCCGCTGGACTCCCAGACCTCTTCCAGGATCCCTTGTTCACAGCCAGACGTGGATCAGCATCTCCACGCTGCTTATTCTCCCACCTGGCTGCAGGGTTACTGTAGTGTTCAACAGCTCTCAAAGTTGTTTCAAAAGGAGTGAAAGCCAAAGACAGGAATAATGCTTTTTATGCTATAGTAAAAGCAATGTACAGTTAGCATTTCATAGTGGCGTAAAGTAATAATGTGTTTCTAGCAAACCCAAAAAACCTTCTTATACATCCTGCTCTTTAGTAGGCTATGCACGATGTTTTGTGCTAAGTTTAAACAAATCCTGCCAAATTTACGCTGCAGTTTCATAAAGTAGCCAAATATCTGTGGGGAATGTACTGGCGCTATTAAATACTTGGTGGTTATGTGCTAAATACAATCTGAACTGAGGAATCAAGAAATTACTTGGGCAGTGCATTAGCCCACTGTCGTGTCTCATCCTTGGACCGCACTGCTAATGTGAATGGGGATAATACACCTGACGCTTCATTTTGGCGGCAGCATATGCCTCAAACACTAAGCATTCATAAACCTTAAGCCACCATCTATCTGTCTATCACTCCTTTGTGTTCTTCACCTAATCAAACTATTGCAAAAGTTCATAAAGAACAATTAGGGAAAAGACAAATAAAGCCTGGTGATCTTGTACACAATGGGAATGTTTCCTGCCCTTAAAACTGCCATTTTAGTGAGTGGGGTAGCAAAGGGAAGTGCTGTGGGACCATCCTCTAATTTGCAGAGGCTGATAGTCATCTGCTCAGGGCTGAGTACTGGTATAGAATCAAATATTTGGAGAAAAAGCTTATTTCTAGGTAGATTCCCTTAGCCCCTGTCCTGGTACGAGAGAATATTTGGGGGAAGAGGCCTCCAATATTACAAGCATAAAATCAGCCATCAGTTGTTGCACATTTACTGTAGTAAGTTACTTACATTTCTTCAGGCCCAGACCTTGACACAGTCATTTTTAGGCCAAAAATTCTGCCGATGTCAGAGAAGCTTCTAATACAAAACAGGCAAGCTATATCTACTCTAAAGGGACGTTTATCTGCATTTTCTATTAAAACTGAAGTATAGCAGCACCTGGCTTAGTCAGGAGCATACATAATGGGAGAAATAACGTTGTAATCCCACCTGTATAGAAGCTGTGCAGAGACACAGACAGGAGCATGCCTGGGTGCTTTGATTAGCCACTGCTGCTCTTCCTAATCAGAGTGTCAATATTCTCTTTTTCTTTTTTTTTCTTTTTTTCTTTTGTTTCTTTTTTTTTTTTTTTTTTTTTTTTTGCCAGAAGGAGGAACGTGTGAAGTTATAGCAGCACACAGATGCTGTAATAAGAATCGAATTGAGGAAAGATCACAAACAGTAAAATGCTCCTGTCTACCTGGGAAAGTGGCTGGGACAAAAAAAACAGCCCTTCCTGTGTTGATGGCAAGTAGCTCCTCCTGTATACATGTCTCTGTTTGTGTACCATCCAGTAAATAGCTTGAAGTCTATACATTATGCATAGGAACTTTGCTATGTTCTCTATTTAACAAAACAGAAAAATCTGTAAGTATGAGCATACATTTATACCACCTTGCCTGCTACTTTAGTACGTGGTTTTGTGCACATGGGTCACATTAAAATTGCCTCACAAAAACAAGAGTATAGCATTCAGTGCAGGCGCCTAGGTAAGTATAACAGATTCTGTGGCAGGATCAAGCCCTTAATAAATAACTGGACAAAATTATCCCTTGTGACACTTCACAGGGTCCCCTCGGTGCCACATGAGTTTTGATTCATAAATATTTCAAGGGACAACAGCCATTCATTTTGATTTAATTAGCCATTTGAAAAGTCAGTGGCAAAAAAGATAATGAAATGAATCCTGTGGTCTTGTCCTGTAACAAACATTACAGAAAGCTAGGAAAACATCTTTGTCTTTTGAAAGACAAAGTGCTTTTTCTTGCCGTGGGGATTTTTTTGCTGAAAGTAAAGCACCATGTGTTTTGTGTCTGGGTTTCATATCAGGTCTAGCTCCGCAGGGTGTATTCCTCCCTGGGGCTCCCCTGCCACCGCTGCAGGGTGAAACCATGCAGCAATCGGGGAGAGAGCCTCAGCTTGGAAGTGCTTAGCAAAATATAAATTGCGTAAGAAGACAGGGAGTGAGTGGTACTAATCCCATTAGTTACCCTTCCCAAACAAGCTGCTCCGTGTTGCAGAATCCCTCTATGCAGCAGCTTTGTGAAACAGAATATCTCGTAAAGGTCTGGTGCCAATATTTATATCACCTCACAGCCCAAAGGTGCTTCAAAAAGCAGGAGTTGTTTCAGCTAGAGTTGAGGTGGCCTCTGTCCTGGGCTCTCCTCATCCTTCCCGTGGCGGGGCTTCCAGGGGTGGTGGTGTAGCCACAGGTTTTGGAAGCACCCAACGTTTCCTCTTTGAGTCTGTCATTTGGCATTCAGCTTTCCCCCCGAGTGAGAGGGGATAGCTGTACAAGTAAACTGGGAGAAACGGTTTGTTCTGGGTACCTTTCCTCAACCACGTGCTGCCAAGTCACTGGCGAGGCAGCAGGGGCTGGTCCCGTTGTAGCCCAAAGTTAGACAGGAGCATTGGTGGTGGTGTGGGCTGGAGGATTGTGTAGACAAAGCTCTGAGGCTTGCACATTCAACACCAAAAAGGGGAGAGATTGGGGGTGCCTTGGAGGGATGAGAACCTCCTATTTTCTCAGCAAGGATTTGTGGGGTGTGTGTATCCAGTTTATATATTAACGATACAAAGAAAGTGTTTTATTTTTCAAAAAATACTTTCAAATTTTTAAATTTTGAGGCAGTATTTCATAGCTTGTTACACTGGCAATGCGATTCGGCTTCTGAACTCGTGACTAAAAACACACTATGAATGCACCTGTGAATGATTACGCTTTAATCCACATTCTGTCATTCTGTTATTGCTTAATTACCCTGATAAAAAGAAGCTTTTCTTTTTCTGTTAAGCACACTCATAAAACCGTAGGTGAAACTTACAGCTGGTCTTAACCAAAGATCAGCTGTACACGCCTTGAAGAATTTCATGTTCTTCAGCAGGTCATGAAAAACAGAGGCACCGGCTGGAGCAGAGAGACACCATTTAATTCAGATCTCATAATTCTGTTCAGAGAAGAGGACCTCAAAGAATGCTGTGTTAAGAAAAAAAGTCAGGTGCAGGTGTGGACTGGAGCCTAATTGCTCTGTCAGGATTACAATAAAAAGAAATGTTATTGTCTGGAATTTTGAAAGGAGTAAGGATAAAACAATGGCTAATATAAAAGCGCAAAGCTAGTCCCATTGAAGTCACTGGTAAGACTCACAGTGACTTCAAAGCCAGCAAACGTGAACTACAAAGGGATGTCTTCCCCTTTCAAGTTCAGCTGTTGTAGTCAGCCCATAGCTTCTTTTGTAGATGGCTGGTAAACGGTTCAAAAGCCCAATATGCTGCTCGTAAAAATTAATAGAAGGGGCATTTTCTTTGGCCTTTGTTTTATCTCAGGCTTTGCTTTGTGACTTTTGACATACTGACCTCTTTTGACTTAAAACTTTGACCTATTTAGTGGTTCTGTTCTTGCTAAGGCAAACTCCCAAAACTTCCCATGGGAGTCCCGTTGACGTCAGTACTTTAACTCACACAAAGATTTGGGATTTGCTATTTCTTCTGTACATTGAGGACATTTCAAAAGTTCATCTGCATTTTTTTACCTTCTTTACCTACCATATTGAAAGGATTAAGACCATTTAATCTCACACTGTTTTTTACACTGTATACAATTTCAAGCCATAATCTGTCACTAAGAAAACTTGCTTAGGTCCATTAATTAAAAATCCAACAGTATACTCACCCGAACAGACTGATCACCTTTGAGAGATGACACGGAGTGGGAGATCCCACGTTAGCAGTTTGGCTCCCATCTGTGGTTAATTATTGCCTTGAGCCATCTCCACCTGATGGCTGTTTAGTAGTGCGTATAAAACAAGCTCAACCTCAGTCTTGCCCTGTTCATATCATTGGCCAAACTGTGATATAATGGGATCAGAATCAAGCTTTTGGTGTTTCTAAGTCCAATTTCATCGGAAAACACCTCATCAAGGCTGATAATTTGACAGTTTAAGTTGATGTTACAGTGGAGAGATTGCATTGCTTTTCACTCCCACCAGTCATTGCTCTGGGACACAACTGGGCTGCGTGGGTGGCACTGTGTGGAGAGCTGGCTTTGTTTTCTGTTTAAGAGAGAATACAATTATATGTAGGAGTCAGCTTAACCTTTTAAATAAGTATCAGGGGTGATAAATGGTCCTTTTGTCCTCCTGTTGTGAGATCTCATCATGGGTAACACACCATCATAGTACATAGGACTCACATATGCAATCCTCCTCCTGAATGAGCTGAAATTCAGGCTGAATATGTGTTATTTATACTATGAAGGGTGGGAGGTTGCCATCTATTCCCAAGCATCGCTTTCTGCCAAGTCCAGCAAACTTTTTCTTTGGGGTCTAATCTTAAAAAAGTATAGTGAGGCCAGGCTCTGGCAGCCTCATAAGTTATAAATTATTCCTTGCTGCTCATTCAGTAGACACTGTCCTAAAACCTGCCTCAATCACCAATGAATTATGTAGCAACAGTGAGAGTAAAACAAACCCCAAACCTTGTCATGAAACAGAGATGCCAGTTTCTGTTTCTTTGCCTCTTCTGTTGCACATTTACTTTCATGATTCCCTTCATGACTTCAAGGCTGGGTTTTTTTGAAGGATGGTTTTGAACGCTCCCTTCCCTCCCTACAATTTATCTCGTGTGCCACTTGGCAGTAGCACGTACCATGGGCATCAGTCTGTTCAGCTCTCTGTCGTGGCTGTTATTATTTTCTCCATTTGCCCAAATACCTCTCCAGAGCAAGTCCCAGATGGATTTGCTTCATTTGTGTTACAGCAGCTTGAGAGGGTCCCTTTTTCTGGGGAAAGCAGTGTTGAGCATGTCCAGGGAGTCCTCACCCCTCTGCCTCCAGAGTGGAGGGGACCTGTGTTAGTAACCTACAGCGTGTGCATTGGCTGCCTGAAGGTATCAGAGCAAGCTCCTGATCTACAATCCTGCCCACACACTTCAGAGATGGCTGGGACCAGCACAGGACTTGAGTTTGCAGCTCAGACTAGCATGCAACTCCTCTAGCTTCACACTTTGATGGACCTGCTCGTTCTTATTTTTGAGTTACTGCAGGCACTTTTTGTGTGACGTGCAGGCTATTTCCGCAGTGGTTTTTTAGCCATGCTTCTGAATTTGCACTTTCCCTCTCCACTATGCTTAGAAATAGCTTGTCTTCCTTGTTTCAGAAGCCCATGAATTTTCCTCCCCTGCAATAGGCTCTGTGGGCCTATGAGGGCACTCAGGTGTCAGCACAAATAGCTGGGATTTGTCCTCTTGCTAGCTGTCGCATGGCTAGTGCAATTTGGCCTGTGGGTTGAGGTTTTATTCCTTTGTCTTTGTTAACTGATTTCTTCTTTTGGTGCTGTGGTTATCTGAGCAAGATGTTCCCAGTAACGTCCTCCGCTCCTTTATAGCAGTGCCTCTTGCACCTTCCTGGTAGGGTCAATGAGCACATGATGATTGTCCTTTCAAGTGTCAAGCCCATGTCCTTTAGAAAATCTGTTCACTTCTGTGAATCAAAATTAGTTGGTGGCTCCAAAATTTTCGTTGTTTTTTCTTAAGTTAGTTTTCTGTTATTCCACATAAAAATAAAAGAATCGACTAAAACAAACAAACAAACAAAAAGAAAAAAACCCTCAAATATTTCTCTTTTTTAAATAGATATTTGTCTTTTTTACAATTTTTCACCATTCCCAGTACATCTTTTATATTAAGGGGGACCAAGATTTCTTCTATTGTTCATGCATAATGTGGAGATATTCTTAATCTTGTTCAATACTTCATCAGAGCTTTCTTTTCCTGCCCCATCTTCCTTCTCAGTATGGAATGCACTGAGCATAGTGAAATTCTGATGAAAAAATATGACTTTTAAATACCTTTAAAATTGCTATTTGAACCTTTTCTAGATGTACTCAGCATATTCTCAAAATATTTAAGTATTATTGAGGGGTTTGCATTCACAGTGCCTCCTCAAAAGCCCTTTCGCTTTCGCTTTCTTACAACCCAAGACATTTTCTTCAAATGAATGGCTGCAGACTGCTCCGGGTTTGGTGATTGTACCGGATCTTGGCATCATATGGGTTTTCATAACTTCAAAATTGTGACAGTATCAAATATAAAGGTTATACCAGCACTGTCATATTTAGGTCAGGACTGTAATGTCCACTTCTCATTCTTCACTGACCTAATCTTCATGCAAAATTGATGTCACCTTTCTGAATAGGCTGAGATTTTCTTCTGTAGCGTGAATAAATTTGGCTGTAAGAGCTAGAGTACAA